GGGGGGGGGGAGGAGGGGGAAGGAGGAGGAGGGAAAAATCGTCGGTAGGTTGGGGGCAACAGTCCAAAATCGCCTGAGAAAAGGGGGAAAAAAGAAAAGAAAAAAAAGACGAACTACCTAGAACTGATCGGGGGAGAAGAGATGGGAAAGGACTGCCTAGAGCCGACGGTTGATGATACGTGAACCCCGCGCGTAGCTTATGGATAAGACATACATGATTGATTGATTGATTGATTGATTGATTGGTGTATACGATATGTATTAAGGTATATGATGACTGATTGATTGATTGATTGATTGATTGATTGGTGTATACGCTGTGTATTAAGGTATCTGATGAGATTTTCATTGGCCGGATTGGTTGATTGGCTCATTTGTCGATCGACATGATCGATCGATGATCGGTTACGAACACTGTTTGATGATTTCTATTGGTCGACTCGGTTTCTTTTTAATTTTTGTTTTTTTAAAAACTTAGTCGAGTCACTGGTTGATGGAGAAGGGGAACCGTTCGATCGATGACTAATCTAACATTCATTGATCCGAGTGGTTGAGATTGCTTATGAAGGGTTCAGTGATCGAAATGAGTGATTTATAATGGTTCAATGATGAACAATCAACTGATGATTGATTAGTTGATTGATTGACTGCCTGATTGATGGACTAGCTGGTTGAAGTATTTGGTTAATCGGTCGATTGATTGATTGATTGATTGATTGATTGATCGATTTATTGATTGATTGGTTAGTTGATTGATTGACTGATCGAACGAGCTGATTGCCTGATTGATGGACTAGCTGGTCAAATCGGTCCAGTGATTGATTGATTGATTGATTGATTGATGGCTGATTGATTGATTGATTGATTGATTGATTGATTGATTAGTTGATTGATTGAGTGATCGAATGAGCTGATTGCCTGATTAATGGACTAGTTGGTTGAATTGGTCCATTGATTAATCGATCGAATTGATTGATTGATTGATTGATTGATTGATTGGATCAATTGATCGGTTGATTGATTGACTAGTTGGTTGAAGTATCACTTTCAGATCATCTGAAAGTGATACTTCAACCAACTGGTCAATCAATCAATCAATCAGTCAATCATTCATTCAATTAATCCAATCATTTAATCAATCAATCAATTCGATCTATTAGTCAGACCGTCATCGAACAGACATGATTCGCTGAACTAGCCTTAACGTTCCTTCCGCCACGTGGCTCCCTCTGCTTCCTTGCCAATCAGTTTTTCACTTTTTCACCTCAAATTGGACCACATTTTCGCGATTTTTTCAATATTTTTTTGCGTGTCAACCCTCTGAAGCGCAAGGGCTATTTTGCTAATTACCCTTGTTTGTATCGTTCCAATTTTGACAGATCCGCGAGGGCCATTTTGCTAATTACCCTTCTCTATCTCGTTCCAATTTTGACGGATGTTCCGAAAGATACCACAAGTATTGTGTGAATCATGGCTACCGTCTTCAGCGGAATAGAGCGCCCGAGTGATTATAGCTGTACCGAGACTGGAAAATTTCGACAGATACATCCGCCATACTTTTTGTCGTTTTCACATTTCGGAATGGTGTGGAGATGGAGCATGTATCTTCTGCAAAAAACATAGAAAGATACATCCGCCATACTTTTTGTCGTTTTCACATTCCGGATTGGCGTCGCTATGCCCTCCTCCTTTGGCAGAGAATGCATCGTAACGATCCTTTTTTTTTTTTTTTTT